GGACCTGTGTCTAACAGTTTTATGAAGAAATGGATGGCACTGCAAATGAACCCTGCAGACTGAAGATGGCAGTGATCATCTGCAGGCTGGAAGCTTTCATTTTTGTGAATGGAGGCTCCAGCCTGTATGGTTACAATGTCCAGGGCTTTCTTTCAGTAAAAACGCAGGGGGAACGTAGTTCCGGCACCTCCATCCAGAAGTGTAATGACAATGTATGTAATGACAAGGGATGCTGGAGGATCTATTGATGCTGGCTTCTGGGGGGATCTAGGCTGCTGGAGGGAATATAATTTTTCAGGTCTATTGTTGATGGGGAGGTCTACTGTCACTGGTGGGGGATTATTTTTTGCAGAGGAAGGATCTTATGTTGCTGGTGAGCAATAATTGCAGGGAGGGATTTACTGTTGAAGGGGGGGTCTATTGCTGGCTGCTGGAGGTCTTTTAACCACCTCCCGTCCGGCTGTTGTATATAAAGGGGCGGACGGTGCAGTGCAGGGTCAGGTGGCTGTTTATAAATGGTCTCCCCACCCCCTGCTTGTGCGCGCTCCCTGGGAGCGTGCAGCACAGCGATCTGGTGCCCACTTTGTCCTCTGGACACAGTGAGTGGAACACCGGGCATCGTACAGGACCTCTCTGCGAGGTCCCGATCATGTGATCACTGATTGGCCAATCAGTGATCACATGCAGAGTAGTAAGCAAGATGTCACTTCTGACATCATTGCTTACTACGAGTGAAATCCGTGAATGATCACAGAGATCACTTGGTACAGGGCTATTCACAACAGCCTTGTACCATGTGACAAGCTGTGACCAATCACAGCTCACACAGTAGTTCTCAATGGCTGCAAGAATGCAGCCAGAGAGAAGGAGATATGATTGCTTTTACAGCCTTTATGGGTGTAAAAGCAATCAGTTTAAAAAAAAAAATAAATCTTCATCACCCCCCACAAGTAGTACAGTGTCACAGTGTACTGCTAGGGTGATAGTATAAAAAAAAACATAAATATTAATATAAAAAAAAAAAATAATGTAAAATAAGTTTAAAAATTATAATTTTTGGTTATAAACTAATTTGGGTTATTTTTTTTTACTAAAATGATAACGGAATAAATTTTGGCCAAAATTTATGATGAAATAATATTTATTTGCAAAATTTTATAAGAAAAACACTTTTTTAAATTTTTGGACTTTTTAATTTACATAGCAAAACAAATTAAAATCCCAGTGGTGAATAAATACCACCAAAATAAAGCTTCATCTGTCTCAAAAAATGCTAAACAATTCATATGGGTACAGTGTTGTATGACCGCGCAATTGTCATTCAAAGTGTGATAGCGCTGAAAGCTGAAAATTGGCCTGGACAGGAAGGGAGGAAAGTGTCCAGACTGGAAGGGGGGGAAAGTGTCCGGACTGGAAGGGGGGAAAGTGTCCGGACTGGAAGGGGGTGAAAGTGTCCGGACTGGAAGGGGGGAAAGTGTCCGGACTGGAAGGGGGGAAAGTGTCCGGACTGGAAGGGGGGAAAGTGTCCGGAATGGAAGGGGGGAAAAGTGTCCGGACTGGAAGGGGGGGAAAGTGTCCGGACTGGAAGGGGGGGAAAGTGTCCGGACTGGAAGGGGGGGAAAGTGTCCGGACTGGAAGTGGTTAATGCTGGCTTTTGGGAGTCTATTGTTGCTGGGGGTGGATCTATTGTCGCGGGAGGGTCCATTGTTGCTGGGGAGGGCTATTGTTGCTGGCTGCTGGGGAATCTATTATTGCTGGAGGGAATCTATGTTGATGGGGGGGGGGTGTATTGTTGCCGGGGGGTCTATTGCTAGCTGCAGAGGATCTATTTTATTGCCTTTTTTCTTATCATTAACAAATTCCATAAAAATTGCTTAGCACTACAAAATGATACTTGGTTTTCTATTCTCTAAAGGTAGTTAGGGGGTGGAACCAAGGAATGGTGCTCCGAGGTGGGCAGGGGGCAGAGACAAGGGGTGACTTGGAAGGGGGGAGTTCCTGTGTCTATTCTTTGAGGGAAAAAAAGCCCTGACTATGTCAGAGCAAAAATAGTCATCCCTTGATAATGAAAATCTGATTGGCTTCCAGACATCACTGGGCATCCTGGCTTTCCATGGCAGCCAGCATAGAGAGTGAGCAGCCTGGCAAGTGTCCGCTGCTGGATCTCAGGGAAGTTTAATAATGTTTCCTCGACACTGGGCATCATGCTGGGGGATGTTAAAGTATAACTAAAGGCAAAGCTTTTTTTTAGTTTTGGACAGAGTGGAGAGGAATTAGAACACCTGTCAGGTGTTTATTGCTATCTGTGCCCCTGTTTCGGGAGATTCATCCTCTATATTTGTCCTGTTTACTGTTATAATTGAAAGTGAAGGTAAAATAAAATCCCAAAATTTGCATTGGCACCAGAACACTAATAGAGAGAAAATCTTCCAGTAGGGACACTAGTTCTGGTGACACCCCGGGGTTCCCTCTCTTTGCAGAGATTTCCTCTCACTTTATCAGGGCCTTGACTTGAACCTGGGACTTCTACTGTGTCAGGCAGTAACTCTTCTCACTGAGCTACCTGGTATGTAGGACAACACTCTGCCTGATCTATTGGACAATCCTGCCTTGTCCCTTGTTTTCTGATGAACCTTGAACTACTTGCTCCTCCCATGAACTTCCTCATAAAAGCCATGTCCATGCACTTCCTCCTTGCCAGATTATTGTGCCTTCCAGCCAATATCCCGCTCAGCCTTACTGCTGCTGTCTATATCGTTTGTGACCGACCCTTGGCTTGTGACTGACTCCGCTTTTGTCTTATCCCTGAACTGTTCGATCCGCTATTGGTTTCCAGCTTGCCCTTTCCCTGGTGGGGTGATCCTGAGATCTGCGACCTGGTATTCACACGCAGCCAAATCCATCTCCACCATTAGGAGCTCTGGTGAAGACCGGTGGATACTTAGACCCCGCACCTCAGGTGAGCCTGAGTCATTCCCAGGGTGACCCGCTGGTGTACCTATCCTGCTGGTTTCAGGTAAGCCTTACACTGCTGTAGCAATTGGTCTCTGAACCTGACCTCACACCGTGTCACACTTCTTCTTTTGGTTATGGGACAGGAAGTGAGCGGAAATCTCCCCAATGGGACACAGATGGCAAATAAAAAAAGAGTGGTTAACCGTTTCAATACCGTGCAATTTTACACCTTCCTGCCCAGGCCATTTTTCACGTTTCAGCGCTCTCACACTTTGAATGACAATTGCGCGGTCATACAACACTGTACCCAAACTAAAATTTTATCATTTTCTTCACACAACTAGAGCTTTCTTTTGGTGGTATTTAATCACCGCTGGGGTTTTTATTTTTTGCTAAATTAACAAAAAAAGACCAACAATTTTGAAAAAAAAAACACATTTTTCTTTGTTTCTGTTATAAAAGTTTACAAATAAATAATTGTTCTTCATAAATTTAGGCCGAGATGTATTCTGCTACATGTCTTTGGTGAAAATAACCCAAATTAGGATGTATTTTTTAGTTTGTAGGAAAGTTATTGAGTTCACAAACTATGGTATAGATCTGAATATTGATCAATCCTGAAGTACTGACAGCCAATCTAATTACTTGAGGTCCAAGAATGTCAGAATAGTACAGATATCCCCCAAATGTCAGAACAGTACAGATATCCCCCAAATGTCAGGACAGTACAGATATCCCCCAAATGACTCCTTTTTGCAGAGTAGACAGTCCGACATACTTCATAAGAGGCATGGCAAGTTTTTTGAAGTTGTATTTTTTTGTCAAAATTTTTCGGAAAATGAAAAAATTAAAAAAATTATTTTCACTATTTTCTTTTTACATACTGTCACCAGTGCAGTACAGCATCATCATATAACTGGCATGGCGGGGAACAGGGACACTGACTGGTGACAGTATGAAAAAAAAATATATATATATTTTTTTTAATTTTTTTTATTATATTTAATTTTTTATTACATTTTTTTTTATTTTTTTTAAGATTTTTTTTTTCATATTTTACTATGACCAAAGTAGTACAATGTTACCATAGTAACATTGTACTACTTTGGGGAAGTGATCAGTATTTTTTTTTTATTTTTTTTTTACACAATTTGCTTATAGCAAAGAATTACTTTGCTATAAGCAAGCATTTACCTGAATGAAATCGATTCATTCAGCTTTTTTTTTTTTTTTTTGTGCTTAGCTGTGATTTGGTCACAGCTAATCACATGACATGTGCATGTGATTAGCTGTGACCATTCACAGCTAGGCACTAGTATACAATGGATGGCATCATGAATGAAGCCATCCATTGTATACAACTGTCATGTGACCTGCTGTGATTGGTCACAGCAGGTCACATGGTACCAGCAACGGGAGTCGGTACTCAGATCTGTCATCGGCCGTGTCCGAGGTGCACGGCCAGTGACAGATCGCACTGCTGCACCGCTCTGCATTAGCGCAAACTGCTCATGTGCGGGAGCACGCCAAATGGCCTGCACCCGGAGTGCAGAGACCCTTTTGAAGCCGCCAAACGGCCATTGGCCAGGCAGCTAATGGTTAAAACCCTCCCTTACTCTATCCAGAATAAAAAAGTTTTGCCTGTAGTTCTACTTTATCATACAGGTTGTGGACACGAAGAGGCTAAACAACTGTTGTATGCATACTAGCATTTTGTTTTTCTATACAGGTAATGCATCATACAAATGTTACCTTCGTCATCCTAATGGGGTTCAATAGTATCAAGAGCTTTAAAGGTCTGTCCTTTCTTTTCTTTCTTGCAATCTATTGTGTGGCAATAGGTGGAAACAGCCTGATTTTTACATTGGTGAGTTATACTAAGAATCTTCACATTCCTATGTATATCTTTCTCTCACAACTCTCCATAATTGACATCATGATGACCTCCGATATTTCCCCTAGCCTACTCCATGTTATACTGTATGATGGCTGTTTCATGCCATTCAATGGATGTTTGACACAAATTTATTTATTTGGTCTTTTAGTAATGATGGAATGTTTCCTTTTGACAATAATGTCTTATGATAGGTATCTGGCCATTTGTTGCCCACTGCACTATAATACCATTATGAGCTTTTTGTTTTGCATCAAAGCGATTATTACATCATGGTCGTTGAGTGCTCTATTAACAATCCTTCAGGCATATCAGGTTAGCCAGCTACAATTCTGTGGACCAAACACCATGGATCATTTTTTTTGTGACTTTGAGCCTTTGCTTAGACTTTCTTGCTCAAATGTTTTCACTGTACGGTTGACAGCTAGCATCTTAGGCATTCCATTACTGTTCTGTTCTTTCATTGTCGTTGTGCTTTCCTACACTTATATCATCTTCACTGTTGTTAAGATGAAGTCAATTTCTGGAAGAAAGAAGGCCTTTTCCACTTGTAGCTCTCATTTATTTGTGGTCTCCCTTTATTATGGGACATTAAACGCCAAATACCTTGTCCCAACCAAAGAGAAATCATCTACTATGGGTAAAGCCCTTTCTGTTCTGTACACAGTGATCACTCCATTGTTCAATCCCATAATTTACAGTGTGCGAAACAAGGATTTTACCAAAGCCTACAGCAAATTAATGGCTGAAATATGCAGTTGAGGTGTGGAAATGATGGATCCCATGAAGCCGCACATCATTGGAGACCCGCTGGTATTAGAAGGAATGTCTCAGTCTTACCTCCCGCCATGCCACACACTCAATGTGTTTCACTCCACCTCTCAGAGATGAATCATGGGGATGATTATGCTCCAGGTGTGGAGCAAAACACATTGGGAGCATGACCTGGTGGGAGCCCAGGCTGAGACTGCCATTCAGTCCAATACCAACAGGTCCACTGATGTGCGGCTTCATGGGATCCATCCTTTGCTCAATAGTTGCTTGGAGCTGAGACGAGCTCCTTCCCTGGCCTGCATTCATACTGATGGACACAGGATTGCTTTCGCTTGTAGCTTGAGCAGCATACATTTTTCATTACTGGTTCACCGTGAATTAAAAAAAAGCTTAATTCATGGAAAAATGGACATAGGCATAATTATTATTATTATCAGTGTTATTCATTTATATTAAAAGTAGTAGCACTACACACAACAAAAAACAGCACCATTGTTTTAAATCTGAATGCTAGTTAGATGATAAAAGCAAGGGTTTATTTTAGTAAAAATAAAATCAACAGAAGGGACATGCGTGAGTCACAAGTCACAAGAGCCAAATGAGTCCTTAACGTGGAGTTCCACCCTAGCTAACAGCCATGGCCCCACTGGTAGTTGATACTTGTCCCTGTAATCTTTGGGATTTTTTTTTTGTTTGTCTCTAGGTAGCGTTTTGATTCAAAATTTCCCTTCACTATGGCCTTATACATCATATCCGGTCTCCCTATGGTTCCTGGGATATTTGTATCATCAATCCCAGGAGTCAATGGGCATCCTCTGCTTCTGGCATTGTGTTATTTCAAAACCAGAAATGATGTGATGCCAGGTGGAGTTAGGCACCACATTTGAATGGACACGCTGTTGTCATTGTACCTGGTATTGACCGGTGGTGGAGAAGGAATTGGTAGTGGTGGTGGAGAAGGTATCAGTAGTGGCGGTGGAGAAGGAATTGGTAGTGGCAGTGGAGAAGGAATTGGTAGTGGCAGAGGCAGCAGCAGGATCTGACTGCACAAGTGCGAGATCATGAGATGCATGCTGGGTAGCTGCTGCACCGATTCCTCATGTATGAGTGGCTTCTGATGCCCACAGTACCAATGGCTGCCTGGGGCGTTGTATGTAATTGCTGATTTATACAAACACAAATTATTACATTTATAACAGTATCCAATGTAGATTTTACTAGCAAAGAGAATCATGGGGGTGCTTACTTAAAAAAAAAAAAAAGGCAAGGAGACTGGAACTTCAATTTAATAGAAGTTAGCTGTAGCAGCTGAGACTAGGCAGTAGCATTGGCCAAAGGGGGAGCAGAAATCTAAGAAAAGTCTTGGATAGTCAGGATACCCTTTGGCATTGGTGAGGATCACAGCATGCCCTCTTGTACACCAAAGGTGAGGGCCCTTAGAAGGGTCATGACACAGAGTCAAAAGAGCCACCTTGTCCTTACCAGAGCTCCTGAAGTTGGAGGTACATTTTGCTGTGGACAACTTCCAGGTAGTAGCCCTCTGGCTCACCCAAGAAGGCAGGTAGTACAGTCCAATTGTACAGAAGTGTAAAGTAACACAGAGATGCACTGATCGTAAGTAAGGAATGCATGGAGCTACACAGGATCATTGAAAGCAGGCTGCAGCGCACAGAGACATACAGCAGGAAGCAGACTAAAAAAGCACAAAGAAACACTAAAGCAGGCTGAAGACTAGGAGCACAAATCTGCTGGTAATACATGGCAGGCTAGAACACAAGGGAACCATGGAGGTGTAAGAAGACTGGAAACTGGCTGAGGTACAAAAGGAAGTCAGAGGCTCAGGAATGCTGGAGTGCTCATAATGATATATCAGTTGTTGGGATTCAGGTTGCATGCAGGGACACAGAGGATCACAGGAAATAGTCTGGACAACACTGGGAACACTGGAAATACGGTGACCACATTGGAAGATACTGGGAGAGGACAGTGGGAACACTGTAAGAACAGAGATCACCCTGGAAGTCACTGGTAGACATTTGTGAAGTCAATGTGAACATGGGGCTAGCTGGTGGGCATGTTACTCCTTGGAGCATCAACTCTTTCAGACAAAACCTGGCCATGGATTTGCTTGTGCACCAGAGGCCCCTAATTTAACGCACACTGATGGCCTTTTACAGGGAAAAGACCTGGCACCAGGGGCAGACTGACCATTTGGAAACTCGGGCACTGCCCGAGGGCCCGGGGTCAGTAGGGGGCCCCATGAGATGCCCCTGCTACCTTTTTTATAGGCTTTTTTGAGTTTGGGCAAGGACACAGGGGCCCCATGATCCCCTATTGCCCGGGGGCCCCATGAGTTGTCAGTCCGCCCCTGCCTGGCACTGAAACAAGGAACAGGTATGCGTGACAGAAAGATAGCAAACAAAAAAAATATGCTTATTATGTTCCTTTCTCAACATAATTTTTATAGGCTGTTAAAATAGTTGTACAGTATATAACGCTAACAATGATCTTTTCTCATTTGCTCCCTTTTGGTTTGTTAATATAAAATTGAAAATGCACCGTATATACTCGAGTATAAGCCGACCCGAATATAAGCCGAGGTGCCTAATTTTACCACAAAAAACTGGGAAAAACTATTGACTCGAGTATAAGCCGGTGGTGTCAGTGGGGGGAGGAATAGTGCCCCATCGTTGGTGTCAGTGGGGGGAGGAATAGTGCCCCATTGTTGGTGTCAGTGGGGGGAGGAATAGTGCCCCATCGTTGGTGTCAGTGGGGGGAGGAATAGTGCCCCATCGTTGGTGTCAGTGGGGGGAGGAATAGTGACCCCTGCTCCAGCCTGTGCTCACTCTCTCCCTCCCTCTCCCATGGTACACACTTACCGGTCAGATGTCTTCCTTCTCGGCCGCTCTCCTCCTCTTCACTCGCTCGATCTTCGCGGTGCCGCTCGGCTCCTCCTCTCCTCCTCTCCAAGCTCCACCTCCTCACCGGTGATTGGGCGCCTGTGTGCCTCTCCTGAGCTACAGTTCCGGCGGCCAATCACCGGCGAGGATTGATCCCGGGGGTGTGTCCAGATGACAGGGACGGCATGTCATCCCGCCCACACCTGGGGATATTGACTCGAGTATAAGCCGAGGCGGCCATTTTTCAGCACAAAAAATGTGCTGAAAAACTCGGCTTATACTCGAGTATATACGGTATATGTTTTTTTCTGTTCGATAAGTGCAAAATAAAAAAAAAACTATCTCCATTGATCCTAAGCGTTCAAGTGATGCTGTAAGTTCCTGCATTTCTTGCCTGTGTGATACTGAAGTCTTAAGAAGTACATAAAAGTACTTAAAAAGCCAAATAAATCTCTCAGAACCCCAACCCATAAAAATGATTGAAAAGTCCCTCAATTATATATGAATTTTGTCATATATATATATATATATATATATATATATATATATATATATATATTATACACTGGATATTATATTGCAAGACTCCTGACCTGGGAGAATATGGAATGTTCATAAAAAAGCAAACATAATAAAAATATGAAACAGCAAGGAGGGACATGCAAGTAATGCCATGGGTGGAATTCAAACCAACAACCCTAGTACTGCTAGGTGGGTGGAAGTGCTAACCATTTAGCCACTGTGGAATATAGCAAAGCCCATGCAGGAATTGATGCAGCGCTGCCCTCATGTGCCCACTCCAATGACTTAAGGCTTGTCTATGTTATAATACAAGTGAATGTATCTGCTTTTACTAATAAAACATTGCATTTGCGGAGAGCACTATGTTTCCTTCTTTTTGTCTTTGAACATTGATTAATATAAATAGGATAAGTGTGATAGAACTTTTCCTTTTTAAAAGTCATATCAACAAGGTGAGGGTGGGTCCATAAGAATTTGGTGTAGGTCTCAGTAACACGAGAGTGATTTGATGGTGGAAGATCACAGGGATACTACAATCTATGACAGAAAAATGGCATGTGCTTCAACTCCTGCACTAGACGGTAGACTCCACAGTAACTATAACCACACATAGGATGCCTAAAGGATACACGCCTTGCTGCCCTCACCAGACCAGGGAAATCCAAATGAACTGCATGCAAAGAAACAGAGGGTGCACCGGCCTAGTGCATTACCTTAGAAAATTAATTTATTGTATAAAAATGGTGATATACTCACAAAGGATAAAATATCAAAGGTACACCATATGAAGTACAGCAAGGTCCAATCTCACTAGATGATAGGGACTAGCAGACCTCCAAATGGCTGACACATTTCAAGACCTTGCCTCTTCCTCAGAGCCAGTAGCTACTTGCTGACCTAGTACACTATGGTTACAGGGGACCCCACATCTACATGATCCACTTTTCCATACAACTATATCCAATGTGCGGGTTTCTGACCCTTAGGGCATCATTTGTGTTTTATATACAGTAAGAATTTAACTATATTCATAATCGTATACTTTTTTTTATATATATCATGTGGACGTGGTATACTTGGATTTTGCAAAAGCATTTGACACAGTTCCCCACACATGGCTAATGCGTAAGGTAAAGTCTACAGGCTTGGAAAAATCCATATGTAAATGGATAGAAAACGGGCTAAAAGATGGTATTCAGAGAGTAGTGGTTAATGATTTATACTCTGAATGGTCTAGGATTGTCAGCGGTGTACCCTAAGGTTCAGTGTTGGACCCTTACTTTTTAATCTATTTATAAACGATATAGGGTCTGGGATTATAAATTCTCATTTCAGTCTTTGCAGATGACACCAAGCTGTGCCGTGGAATAACGTCCTTACAGGATGTCTCCGACTTACAAGCCGACCTCAATGCTCTGTTTAATTGGGTAACTATGTGGCAAATGAGGCTTAATGTTAATAAATGTAAGGTTCTGCACTTGGGGGCTAAGAATGTGCATGCGTCATACATACTAGGAGGAGTACAACTGGGGGAATCAATGGTGGAGAAGGATCTGAGGGGGTCAA